AGCCGCCGATCAGCTGTTCGGCGGCTCCAAAATGGCCGCCGGACGCAAAAACATCGCTGGAGGGGTAAGTTTGCACGCTTATTGGAATGCATTAAACTAAGTTTAATGCGTTCCAATAGGCTTTCCTTACCCGCACAGCGATGTTTTCGTATAGCGAAGGTTAATCTGGAACGGATTAACCTCGCTATACGGGGCACCACTGTACAAGGATTTTCTATGTAGTATATTACAGTGACAGAACTGGACCTTCTAAAGTTAAACCATGATTATATTACAAACCTATGTTTTGTTACCTCATTCAGCTGTAACTGCAGCTCACTTATTCTATCTACTAGGAGTCCATGTTCCTGTTGGATATCTCTCAGTTTCCCTTTTAAATTTTCATTTTCACTTTCTAGTTCCTTGAACAAAAAGAAACTTAAAATTTACATCATTTGATCACAAACACAGCAATTCACAGAACAACTAAAATTCAAATAAAGCTAGTCGCTACCAGTTTTAGACATGGCAAATGACCAGTAATAGTTGCTTTCCTGCTTGTACATTTAGAGGCTATGAATATGTTAAGGTATATATCAAGCCTGTAAACAGATGAAAGCCCAGCCCCTGATGATGTTTCAAACAGCCTTTCCATTACTCAAAGCCTTAAAAGCCAAAGCTTATTCACTTGCAGAATACATCAATTGATCGCATCCTAATTAAAGTCTGTATTGAACAGATCAAGTACAACATTTTTAAGCCCCAATACTTCTGCCAGGGCATTCTCCACACCTTTCCCCCTTTTACCTACAGTATGTGTGAGTGAACATTATCTGCTCCATTTAGTCATGGAATAGATAATACTCACTGTGGCGTTTACTGTGGCCCATTTGTTTCACCAAACACAGAGCTCACGAAGGTATCCAAACATGCCCTTTAACACGTTGCCAACGTTGATCTCTATAACTCCTATGAGAGACTGAGGTCCTTTCAGTACTGAACTTTCAAACAGAAACAGGTTTATTGATTATAAGTTGTTTTAGGAATAGTTCCTAAGCATATTCTTAAAGTTACACAAAGCTTCAGTATTTTACTTTAATCTCTTCTATCTTAATTAATACAGGTCACACTCTGACTAATCACTCCTTAAACACTTTCTCTCTGTCTCAAACCCAAACTACAGTGGTACCTCGCAAGACGAGCGCTTCGTAAAATGACGAAATCACATCACGATGAAGTTTTTGCGATCCCAAAAGCGATTGCAAAATGATGTTTCCTATGGGGTTTTTTCACTTTGCGATGATCGGTTCCCTGCTTCGCTAACCGATTATCACAAAACGAAGATTTTCGCACAGCTGATTGGCGGTTTCAAAATGGCCACCGGGTTAAAAAAATGGCCGCCCACTGTTTTCTGGGACGGATTCCTCGCTGCACGAGCAGCGAAAATGGTCGCACTGTGGAGGATCTTCGCTGGATGGTGAGTTTTAAGCCCATAGGAACGCATTGAAGGGGTTTCAATGCATTTTTATGGGCTTTTAAAAATCGCTTTATGATGTTTTCGTTCTATAGCGATTTTGCTGGAACGAATTAACATCGTAATGTGAGGCACCACTGTATCTCTCTTCTCTGTCTCTCACTGAACTGACTGAACTAACTAGACTCTGACTCACCCCTACCTTCTAGTTTCTCTGGCTCCGCCTCTGAACTGCTCGCATTGGTACATGCCAATAATCTACCTGAGCCAAAGCAGGGTGATCGCTACACTCACACACAGAGTAAAAAGGGGGGGGTATCAAAGCAGTCTCAGCCCAATTATGGCTAGAATCAAAGTTCCTGCTAAGCTGGGTGCACATGTGTCTCTGCCTCCCAGTGCACAGCTGTCTTCCTCCTCTAAGCAACAATTGCGTTAGGATCCAGTAACGACAGAACCCAGAGTTGCACGCAAATGCAGGGGCAGAGACTCACCCAGCGGGACTGAAAATTAGAGGGTACGTTGGCTATAATTAAATTACTATAAATAACTGTATAAAGATAACCACATAATCATTTCCCTACCTTCACATGACTGTTGTTATAGTGTTGCAATATCATCAGTTACTTGACTGACTGTATAAAGGGCAGATTATAGGCAGAGTAAAAATACAATGTACAAGTCCCTACACACACTTGATTTTGCCTTATGTTTTAATTTTTCTCATTTTTTCACTCACTTTTTTTACTATTCTTTCTCCCCCCCAATAATAGAGCCTCTGAGACTAAACTACATGCAAAGTTGAAAGGAGAAGCAGGATAGCACCAGAATGGTCCTCACTAGGAACTTGCATTCTACTCATCCGCTCTAAGTGCAGCCCACCTGTAAGTAGTGTCATGAAGGGGATGATGGGTTCCAGGGAGTTATAAAAATGAGATTTATGTTGGCTGTAAGAAGGTAGACTCGAGAAGGGAAGAAACTGGCTCTCTGACAGTTTGAGAAAATGGGGGCACCTGGGTTTTATCTTGCTGCGGAGGAATTTCAAGGACTATAAAATACTTGGTTGCTTACATAACTATGATTTTTTTTGAGTGGTGATCCATGTATCCACACAAAATGGGGGGGTGCCTGTGCGAAACCACCTTGGAAAGTTCCAGAGCCTCAAAACTGAAAGCCTATACTACACAAGTGCAGCCCCACTCTCCTCAGTAACAGTCATCTGCCGCAAGAAAAGAGAGAGGCAGAAAAAGAAGGGAGGTGGGTGGGTGTGGATACATGGATCACCACTCAAAAAACCATAATTACATAAGTAACCAAGTCTTATTTTTTGTGGTGTCCATGTATGCACACAAAATGGGTGACAAGTGAGCCACACAATGGAAGTGGGGTTGCACCAGAACAGAACACAAAACAGCCCCTCCAAATACAAAATCTTTTGGAGCCCTGAACTCCAAGAGGGGAGGGAGGTGAGGGAGCTCAATTTCAACTGTCGTCCATAATTGGACAGTGGAAGCAAGGACTGCTTTTGCATTGGGCTCTGAGGCAACAGTGTTCTCGGTGAGGCAGCAACACTCTGCAAAGAGGAACTCAAGCACTCACCCTCTGAGACAGACTGTGGGTGTTGCCAGTGAGCGCAGAGGCAGACTCTTGGATCGTTAACTGCGGATCTGAGGCTGCCATGCACACGACGGTGTCTACAGATTGCTGTTTCTTCTTCAACACCTCAATATTGAGGGCTGCTATACGTTTACGGCTGCTGTTGTCCAATTTGTTGATTTTGACTGTGGTTTTGAGGAAGATGAAGTGACAGACTCTACATCCAGGGCTGTCCCTGGCAGGACTGGCTGATCCATCTGAGTGGTCAAAATCGTCCCAGGAGGGGGATCCATAGTTCGAAAGGATTGTTCCCACAGTAAAGATTGAAGACGAGACTGACGATTCTTGAATATAAGGACAGTAAAGCTCTTACAGATTTTGCAGGACTGAATTAAATGGGCTTCTCCTATGCAAAATAAGCAAGTATGCCCATCAGACTGAGAGATCTTTTTGCCACAAATGGCACACTTTTTCATTAGGACAGGGGCCATAACCATTAGAAAAGGAGGACGACAAAGCTGTGTGTGGGGGGGGAGGTTAAACTCTCTCTAAAACTAACACACTTTCTCCCTTTCTCTCTCTGTCTCTCTCTCTCTCTCTCTCACTCACTAACTTTTTTGGGAAGAGAAAGGAACAAGAAGGCAGAGGCCTTAGAGGAATGTAGGTAAGAGAAGCAAGGCTCTAGAGCAGTTTTTCATGTGCTCTTGTAGCGGCCGACAAAAAAGGACTGAGGAGAGAAGGGCTGCATTTCTGCAGTATAGGCTAGAGGCACTTTTGTTTTTGAGGCTCTGAAACTTTCCGAAATGGTGTCACCCAGATGCACACACCCATTTTGTGTACATACATGGAAACCACCAAAAATCTTCCCTTCTCAAGGCACTACCATCTGATAAACAGAACTGAATTCAATTGAGGGAGAATGAGCCAATTCACTTCAACACATTACCTCTTTCCAGGTTTATGAGAATTTGGAATGTGATGGGTGGAAATGTGGGGAAGGATCTGGAATGTACTGTAGATGATAAAAGGGAAAAGAGAAGGCCTGTGCATGCTCTTGATCTATGCTGAATTGTAAGCAGGAAACGTAAGATAGCTAGACTTTTGTTATTTTTTCAAGACAACTGCCCAAGCCTCCTTTTTTTAGTTTGCAATGCTCCATTTTTAAGCTTTATCTTTTCCCTTTTTTTCTTTAATAACCCTGAATTTTTTCTTTCAATTGTACTTACAAAAGAGCTTTGAACATTTGTGGGTGTTTTGAATATTTCTGTCCTACAAGGTTAGCATGGCAGTGAAATGGCCAACTTTGTGAGTTTTTGCAACCTTGCCTGTAACACTGAAGAGTTTGTGAACTCAAAGTGATGGGAATGGGGGGAAGAGGAGGAAGACTGCACTAACTCTAGCCCCTCTGGATCAGAACATAGACAGAGTTCTGACTCCTGTCCTCTGAACATGATGGCCACAGAGGCTAGGGAAAAGTTATGAAGAAAAACCTCTAGAACATGGCCAAACAGCCCGAAAAACCTACAACCACCACCAAAGGAATTTTAATGAACTCTGACATTTACTTACATTTCATTTTGTGTTAGAAGTTAACTTTGGGATTTTAAAAGACATCCATAAGCAAACCTAAAGTTTTCCAGGAGATGACACAGCAAGTTTTCACTCCTGAAACTTCTAGAATTAGTCATGGCACTAGCTATGTCAGGAGCTAGGTTGGCCAGTAGTCTGTTAGAACAACATCAAGAATTTAAGGTGCCAGTGAGATTCTTTAAAAGAATCTTGTGGCACCTTCTAGCCTAAAAAGTTTTATTTGTCATAAGCATTCATGGACTGTAGTCCTTAAAGTGCCAAAATACTCTTTCTTGGTTTTGTTGTAGCTGAAATTGTATTCTTGCCAGAGTGGAACTTTCTAACATTTGCCCAAATAAGGAGAATGCACACAAAGTTCAAGATTTTTCTTTCACCTGAACATTCCCATGTTCCTTCCAACATGGCTTACAACTTCCTTCTTCTGAAATATTTGGCTCACTCCATTTTGGCCGCATGCAGGTTACCTGTTATTCAACATTAACACAGAGAACTGTCAAAGTATAAATCAAAGAAGCATTCATTAGGGAAAATAACACTGCAATGTATACTCAGCTGACCACACCCATCACAGCTGTAGAATCACAGAAGCAAGCAGCAGCTCTTTCATTCCAGACAAGTCTGTGAGGTTCACAGCAAGTGCTGACCCTTTGGCTTCAGCTCATTCTGAAAAAGGGTGCAACCACTTGTGATACAAAATGCTTTCTGTGGTCTTAAACCATAGGGGCCTCCATAAGGCTATAAGAATGGCTTTCTGTATTTTCCCTCTGTATTGTCCAATGATTCTTGCAAAACAGAGAACCTCCCTGCAAATGCCAAACCGAACTCCTACTTGTTATAAATGTGCAACAGCCCTTTCCCAAGATATACATTTGCCATCACACGGAATTCTTACCTTTAGTAGTAAAGGCTGCCCCTTTTTCATAACTTCATAACTTGCTGAAAAGAAAAGGGAATAATTTTTTTTCTACTTAAACATTGCACTCAGTTTTGTGTAGAACATTACACAAATGTTAACACATTTTTAGTAAGTTGATAAGATATCTAGCAATTTACTATTTAGTCAGATTTCATAGCAACAAAATGAGGTATAGTACAAGGAACTAGATGGATTCAGGAAGGGAACAAGGAATGAAATAAAATGAACAATAAATCTTTTAAAATCACTTCCTAATTTTTAAAAGGAAAACAACTGTTTGATACTTCACGCCTGTAACAGCACGTAAGGACAAGTTGCCATCTGTAACTGTAGTTCTTATAGTGGTCACTATGAACTCTCACAAACAAGTCTACCTGGGCAGAACAGCACTTTTCAGAATACTCAAGAACCCTAGAGCTTTAACATTTTCTCCTCCCTCTCCCAAATGAGCACACTTTAACCCCCCTCAATGGCTTTATTTCAGTTCCCCCACATTTGTCACCTAGTATGTCTAAATTGTGGGCGAGTTGTGTGATTCACTGACCAGGGATCAGAGTTACAGTTAAATAACGTGTCGTTCTTTGTGGTCTGTTACTCTTTGTGTCCTTCTTTGTCTCTGTTACTCACACGTGACTAACCATCAGTCAACAGCTGGTGGAATGTAATGTTAAAATTGAGAAAACCACAGATTGTCAAAATAATGCATTTTACTATACTCGCACATCCTGTATATAATGAGTCACTGGAGTTAAAGGACAGTACCAAGTTGCCACTTTGCAAATGTCTTGCAAACCTACTCCTTTCGGAAAACCTGAAGACATAGCCATAGCTCTTGTGGAGCTATTTTTTACTTGACCTAGTAAAGGGTTTTTGTTTGTTTGTTTGCCAGAAAATAAGACGACCTGATGGTTGAAACCATCCATTTCGAAAATCACTCAATAAATACCTAGTTCCCTTTGTGAGGACTCTGATGCCCAGAACAATCTAACTGTTATGCTAAAGTCTTGTACATGAAGCACAGAATGCTACAGCACATCTGACATCTAATGAGTAAAAGAAACTTTCTAAATTTGATTGTAAGGAATAAAAAGTAAATAGCACAACTGGCTAATTCAAATGAAGTGTAACAACTTCTGGGAAAAAAAGATATATCTGGATGAAGTGTTACTTTTTCTTTATGGAAAGTTAGAAAAAGAGGGTCACAACAAAGTATATACAGTGGTGCCCCGCATAACGAGCGATTCGGTTAACGACGAATCCGCATAGCAAATTTTATCACAAAAGCAATCGCATAACGATGTTTTAAATAGGAAAACATCACTTTGCGATGACCGGTAAGCATTTCGCTTACCGATTTTTGCATAATGATATTTTTGTAAACAGCTGATCGGCGGTTCCAAAATGGCCGCCGGGTAAAGAAAATGGCCGCCCGCAGTGTTTTCGCGCCCTTTCCTCGCTTACCAGGCAGATAAAATGGTGGCCACATGGAGGATTTTCGCAGAACCGTGAGTTTTTTGCCCATAGGAACACATTAAACATGTTTTAATGCGTTCCTATGGGCTTTTTTGCCACACATAGCGACGAATCTGTATAGTGACGATTTTTTCGGAACGGATTATCATCGCTATGCGAGGCACCACTGTACAATTCACTTGTTCTTCTAGCAAAGATTAATGGCACAGTGAAGGCTGCCTTAATAGATAATAATCTCAGATCTGATGATGCCATATGCTCAAATGGAGAAATCTAAGGACAAGGACCAAAATGATGCTGATGCCTTGACCTCAAGGTAGAAATTGTCGAGGCCCTTCAAAAACTGCTTGACTATATGATTGTCGAACAAAGTTTGCGATTCTCAATGAATGGTTAATGAGACACAATGTATGGCAAATACACTTTAAGTGAAAAATGCTGAAGTCCATTTTCTTTTAAATGAATGAGAAATCTAAATACTGTATGCACTGATAGCATATTTGTCAAGTATAAGACACAAGTCGTCTTAACTTATAAAAAAAGTCCTTCTTGTAGATAGCTTTCTAGATGCCTAAAGAATTCCCTGTACAGATGGAGACGAGGTGACCCCATTGTAAGTCTCCAAGCTGTCAAGCTCAGCGTGAGCACTTCTGAGTGCTAAATCGTCTGACAGGAGTGAACTGGTGGACTGATGTCTAAAACCATGGCTATCATGGCGCTCATGAGGTTATCAGAATGGCAGAGACCATAGTTGTAAGAAAAGAGGGATGACAAAGCCATGTGTGTGGGGGGGGGAATGAAGTAAACCCTCTCTAAAAACTAATTCTTTTTCTTTCTCTTAGGATGAGAAAATGACGGGTAAAAGAAGTGGGGGGAAAAGAAGGCAGAGGACTTATAGAAAAGGAACGGCAGTAAGTGAAGCAAGGCTCTGGAGCAGTCTTTCACATGATATCGCAGCAGCAGACAAAAAAGGACAGAGGAAAGCTCTTGCACACTATAGGCTGGGCCACTTTCATTTTGAGGCTCTGGAACTTTCTGTTGTGTAGGAGCACATACTCATTTTGTGTGCACAGATGTACACCACAAAAAAGAAACAACCTTTCCTTAGTTTTTGCTTTTATGGTTTCCATTCAGCTAGCAAAAAATGCTTAAGTAGAAATGACAAACTTTGTTCTTAGACTCTGTAAAGGTTTTCTATCTTTAATTCATGAATGTTTAAATCTGTTAAGAATAAAATGAACGGCAGTTGCAACGCTGATAAAAAGGACTGTTGCATTCTGCCAAGCACATGACTCTGTCAATAAGGACTGGGGTGAAGCCAAGGAGGAGCTGCATCCAGTCTTGTGTGCCACCAGCATACACATACGTTCAGGACTCTTGGACAGGGCCTTGGATAGAAATGACGGGAGAGGTACCTCCATCTTCAATTTGTTGTCATTGACAATTCCATCCTTGCAGAGACCTTGGCAACCCAAGGGATACCCATGCACTCCAAAAAATGTGGAAGGTACCAGGTTGGTCTGAAAGGAAGGATGTTTGCCCTCAGATGGCATGACAAATACTTTTAACAGCTGCAGGTGACTGCAAAGGAAGATCTTAGAAGCCAGCACCCTGCTATTATTTTAAAAAAGCTAAAAAAATTGAGTGCCCTTAGACTGACAGGCAGGCCACATCACAACTCTATTCCCATCCAGGTTTGAAGCGAAGAGAGAAACACCACCAAACACAAGCAAGCTGATGTACCTTTGTTGGACTCATCAATGGTAGGCTTTAGCAAAGCCAAGATCTCAACACTGTCACCAATCCGTGCATAGTAAGAGCAGTCGTGGCCAAGGGCATCAACCAAATTGACATCTGCACCATTTTTCAGCAAAACTTCCACAGCATCCTTGCAGCCATATTCACAGCCTAACATCAGGGCAGTCCTAAAGATGAAAATAGAAAGCCCAGGTGCACATCAGAAATATGAATGGAAAGGATAAGCATAATTGCACTTTTCACTCCTTAGAATGAGGCAAGTATGATACACTTGTACAGAATTACATATGGTGTGAACAACTCATTGGCTGTAATCTTGTTCCAAAAGTTTTTTTTTTTTTACCAGAAGCCATAGTGAACTTTTTAAAGAAATAAGGCATTTCTGATTTCCCCTGAAGGTCCTGAGTCTTCTGTCGAGTCTTTAATCCAATAATTAGACAGCTGCTACCCATGTCCTGCAGCCTCCAATGGCTTCCTGACAATTAAAGAGATTCTGTGAGAACCTCGGACCTTCAGAGGAAATCAGAAATGTTTTATTTCTAAAAAGTCATTATGGCTGATATTGTTGTGAGCCTTATGCAGCATAACTTACTGAAAAAAATTCAGCCACAGAGTTCTCTTATTAGAACTCCAGTTTCATTGATTGGTGCCACAGAGTTCTTAACTCTGTGACACCATCCAATGAAACTGAATGGTAGCAGATTCAGGACTGACAGAAGAAAGTACTTCTTCACAGAAGCATAAAGTCAAAGAGTGGAATTCACTATTACAATATATAATAATGCCACCAATGTGGAAGGCTTAAAAAGGGACTGGACAAATTCATGGTCATGAATGGCTACTAGTCATATGATTAAATATTCTTTAAGAGCTTTAGGCAGTACGTCTCTCAGTATCACTTCGTCAGCAAAAGAGTGGGGGGATGCTACTGTACTCATGCCCTGCTTGTGTCCTTAGAGGTGTACAACTGGTATCCGGTCCTACAAACCAGGAGCAATTCACTGCTGGAACAGTGAGATGAGACAGCAGAGAGCTCGGAGGGGGCTATAAAAGACTCTGTAGATGAAAAGAGAGGTTTCCTACCTGTAACCGTGGTTCTTTGAGTGGTCATCTGTGAATCCACACAAATGGGTAAAGTCTGCATCAGCACAGGACTCCTTGGACCTTTCTAGAGCTTTAAGTCATGTGTTTAGTAGGACGTTCCCCCATGGTGCGCATGCTCTGCCCATCCAGAGGGCCCATCAGTTCCCAGCAGAGTCCGCCACTGTCAAGAAAGAAGGGAGACAAAACATGACAGATGGGAGGACGGGCGGGATGTGTGGATTCACAGATGGCCACTCGCGGAATCAGGGTTACAAGTAGGTAACATCTCTTTCTTCTTTGTGGTCTCTGTGAATGCACACGAATGAGTGACTAGCAAGCTAACTTACTGGTTGGTGGGCCATCATGATAAAAGAGATGTCAGGATAGCCCGACCAAAGCTTGCATCTTTCTTAGCCTGAACATCAAGTCTATAATGGGAGGTGAATGTAGAGGGACTGGACCAGGTAGCTGCCTGAAATATATGGGAAATATCGACTCCCTGAAGTAAGGCCGTGGAAGTGGCAACGGCTCTGGTAGAATGTGCTCTAATCGAACCTGGTAGGGGCTTCTTCACTCATACACTGGATTATTGGTCTGAACCATACAGCAAAAAAGTTTCTGAGACGACACTTGACAACCCTTGTTTGGCCCTTGGTAGCAGATGAAGAGATGGGGGAGACTTTCTGAAATCTTCTGTACAGGAGATATAAAAGGCTGAGGAACCCCTTACGTCAAGGGTATAAAGAAGGCACTTAAGATCTGAAGAAGGCGAGGGGAAGAACGTCAGAAAGACAATGGGTTGACTGAGATGGAAGTTGGAGACAACCTTGGGTAGGAATGAAACATCTGGGTACAGAGTGACCTTATCTGGGTGGAACTGCAGGTAAGGAGGATCAGCTCTTAGTGCTGCTAGCTCACTAGCTTGTCGAGCAGACGTGACTGCTACCAGAAACAAGGTTTTAAAGGAAAGGAACTTGTAATGGATAGTAGCAAGTGGTTGAAAATGTAGACGAGTTAAGTGATGTATTATGAGTTGTAGGGAGCATTGCAGAATAGGAGGTTGGGGAGTAGGCCACATGTTTTGAAGTCTCCTGAGGAATCTCTTCAGAGTCAGATGGGAAAATAAGGCCGATGCCTCTAAACCAGCAGGTTGGTGTGCAACGACAGCAGCAATATATACTTTTAGGGTGGAATGCGAGAGTCCCTGCTTGAAGAGATGCAGGAGAAAAGTGAGAAGTGTATCTAGAGTGACCAGTGTGGTAACAAAATCCTTAGATCAAGCATAAGTGGTAAAAGCATTCCACTTGTAGGAGTACAGCAAAGTTGTGGATGGTTCTCGTGCTCTGGCAAGCACAGCTGTTATTGTAGGAGAATCCGCCAGGCTGTGAGGTGGAGAGACATGCGGTCCGGATGATTGATTGTGCCCATCCTGAATTAGGAAATGGGGGCATCTTGAAAGGTGTAGAAAGTCGGATGACATTGCTTTCAGAGGGCTGAATCATGGCTGGCATGGCCATCAAGGAGCTATGAAGATGGCATTTGTCCCCTCTTGGCTCGCTGGATCAAGGGGATGGGGGAGAAACATGTGCAAGACTCTTCCTGCCCTGGAGCAATAGCGGGCACATTTTGTGTTGCGCTCCAAGGCAAAGACGTCCATGGTGGGATTTCCCCATCTGCAGCAAAGGTGAAGAAAGATAGTGTGATCTAGTGTCCACTTGTGAGTCTGGGTGGTAAGGCAACTTAAGTAGTCCGCTATGTTGTTGTCCTCAGTGGCAACAAGGACTGCCACAAGGAAGACATGGTGAGCGTAATGCCATTCCCAGAGTTGTACTGCTAGGTAGTGTACCGCCTTGGAAGGCGAAGTGAAAGTATCTACGATGGTGCAGGTGGATTGAGATATGGAAATAAGCATCTTGTAGGTCGATAATGAAGCAGTCGCCCCTGCGAAGGAGAGGAATGACGGTACTGAGAGTAACCATTCGAAAACGCTTGAGATTAATATAGGAGTTGAGGTCTCGCAGATCTAGTATAGGGTGAAGGCCTCAGTCTCTTTTGGCAACTGTAAAGTAACAGGAGTAAAAGTCAATATGTTGATGGGAATGCTCTGGGTAGCGTCTTTTTGGAAAAGCAATGAAACCTCTTCTTCGAGGATGGGTGAATAATTGAATTTTATTTGGCCTGTAGGTGGAAGCTTTATGAACTCTATGAGATAGCCAAAATGGATAATGGCTAGCACCCATATGTCACTGGTGATAGGAGTTCATTTGTGAAAGAAAGAGGTGAGACAAGACTGTAGGGGTGTAGACTGGTGGATTCGGGGGAAGAGACAGTCAAAAGTATTGTTTGGGTTTCTTTTCAGGTCATCAGAATGGTTGGCAGGGACGTTGTCTGAAGCCTGGGGTCAAAAGAATGGAGAGGTTGAAGACGGTGGCATGGGATGCGACTTTTCACCAGGAGAAGGTTTGTAATGTTGGCACAGTTGATGGAATGTGCTGAGGAGATGCCATTGGGTGCATGGCTATCTTTGGTACTGTTGAGTGGAATAGGTCTTGCAAATCTTATGTAGGTAATCCATGACCTCATCAATTTTATCACTGAACAAACTGACCCCATCAAAGTGTAGGTCTTCAATGTGTGAACATGCATCTTTTGTGATGCCGTCAGAGCAATGCTTTTAGATGCAGCATCAGCGATGCACTTTTGCTTCACTAGGATTGTGGCTTCAAGATGCATATTGAGAGCAGTCACCCAAGATTCAGAAGGTGGGGGAAAAGGAGGGGGGGCAGGTAACTCAGGAACATCCAAGTTTGGCTGAAGAGGCCTCAAAGAGATGTAGAAGCAAAAAAAAAAGTTCTAATCGTGAAAAAGTAGCTCTAGCATTGTAAGGAGTCTAACCTTAGTGGCAGCTGAAAGGAACTGAGGAACCCTCCAGATGGGTGGAGCATGCACACCATGGGGCAATGTCTTACTAAACACATGACCTGAAGCTCTAGAAAGTTCCAAGGAGTCCTGCACAGGCACAGATGTTACCCATTCGTGGGCATTCACAGAGACCATGAAGAATAACAATTCATCTCACTTCCCTGAGACATTTTGGTGAGATATGACCAAAATGGTAAAGGGTCCAGAAACAAGACCTATGAAAAATGAACAACGACTTGGGTATGTTTGGCTGAAGGACACCGAGAGCTGATATGAGATGTGATATCCTAGCAATCTTTAAAAATCTAAGCTATTGCATGGAAGATGGCACAAGGTTGTTTCAGCAGCTCAAGAGGATATGAGATAAACTAATGGACTCAAATTATAATAACTGTTTCAAGATTTCTGCTGTTATACTTATCGATAGGAACAGCTGTTCAACAATGGAATGAGATACAGTACAGTATTAGGGAAGCTTTAATTGCAGATCTCCTGCTTTAGCAAGAATCCTTAGGGGGCTGTATTCAATGAGTCTGGGGTTCAATTCCAACTCTGCAATTCCATGTTTCATCTTTCCATCAATAAAACAGGGGCCACAAAGCTGTGAAGGATTCTTGTAGAAAAAGGATCATTGTAGAAATAAAACTTCAAATATTCATAATGAATTGTTTCAGTTTTCCATGTCCCAAATGGTATTTTTCTTCAGATGTTCAACAAAAGCATCCTGTTGATGGAGCCAGTGATTTGATACCCTGGCTTCTTAGACTATCGTTTGAACAATCCTTTATTTTATGAGCTTAGGCATAACTATAATGTGTTGCCAATGATACCTTCCTAATCAGTTATAGCAGCCTGTAAAGCACAAAGAGAGGAGGATGCAAGTCTGACATTTTTCATACACGTTAACAAAGCATAGTTTGTTTCTGTAGTTGAGCTTGGTACTCTAAAGTCTAAACAGCTATGTACACTGATGGCACTAAAGGAAATAAGTTGTTTTGGCCCGTTAAGCAATATTGTCAGACCTTTTCTGCTTTGGAGCTAATTTCATCACATTCGATCACACAATCTGGCTTCTGTACAATAGTTTCACTGCTTGGAATGTCAGAAAGAGCTCTTTCAAAAGTATACAATTACATCCTCTTCAAGTGCTAGACAAACACATTACCGGTTCTGTTTGTCTCTTGCATTGACATCAGCACCTCTGTCTAGCAGAAGTTGACATATAGTTGGACGGCACATCTGAGTGGCCAGCACCAGTGGTGTCCTCCCATCCTAAACAGAAGGGAAGGACAGCATTAAAGAAATTGCAATTAGTTTGATCTGCTCGGGGGGAATATCCTGAAGGGGACTGATAATACGTACTGCATCTTTGGCATTCACCAAGGCTCCATGGTCACATAGCAATTGTACACTGGATGAACAATCTGACATTGCTTTGGAAAACAGAAAAATGTTACGTTATTAGCAAAAGGGAAAAAAAAGAAATTTCACTTCTTGATCAAGATAATAATCTGCTTTAGTATAATCTAATAGCCATTATCTTCATGATATACAGTATTTCTGACAACAAATGTTCAATATAGCTAGAGAGACCTATTTAGATGAAGCCAGGGGGTTAATCTCACTCAGCTTTAGTCACCAGGGTTCTCTCTGCAGCAGCAACCATGACCTGGGAGGTAGGGAGGCAGAGCTGCAATGGTCTACTGTGAATCAATGCACCAATTTTCTAGGTTCAAGTGTTTATATCTAGAAGTGGGTGTCCAGGAAGAAACAAATAGTCTTCATTTCTGAGCCGGCTGAGCTGGTGCTGAGAATGGCATTGGAGTCCCTGTAGCTTATTGAGGAGGAAGACTTCAACATCCATACCATGGCAATTTCGTTAGGAGTGGCTTAGGACTTCATTGTTTATTGTTTTTACCTCCCTTTAGTGCTAGAGCACTCTGTCACGTCCCCCATGACAACCACGGGTGTGTCCCAAATGGTATCTGGCTCCACCCATGAAAGAGGATGCTATCTAGACTTTTTCTTCTTTACTACTGGTGTTCTGCGTATGAGGGAGCTTCTTGTGGTTCTGTTGTCATGGTAAGATAACCTGGTCAGATTTAAACTCACTGGAAGTCAGAGACTTTGCAGTGGCAAGGGATATTTAACATGGTCTGCTCTGGAGGCTGGTGGACCCAGATGTTTTCCAGAAAGCTCTTGAGAAGTTCCCTGTAGCCTAAGCATGTGACCTGCTGAAGGTCCTTTGGAATGCGGAAATGTGTAGGGTGGTAGACACAATCTTTCCTAATCATTCCCTCCCACAAAGTGGAGCCAAACGGTCCCCTCTTTTATTATTGAGCTGGGGATGATGAAATGAGTGGGATGGAGGCTATAGTGACGTTGGCAGAAACATATCTGAGAGAACAATCTAGAGGCCATTGGGAGCCTTATCCTATGGCAGTGACAGTGGTGAAGAAATTATTTTCACCTTTGGGTCTGCACAGAGTCTTCCGCTGCAGATTTTTTGAATGGTCAAGGGCCACCCAAAAGAGCTGCACTGGAAGACTCTGTTTGTTACCAAGAGAATGCAGACCACTTACATGCTGGCCAACAAGAAAGGAGTGTGGATAGCTGTAAAGAATTTGAACAACATTTTGCAGGAAAAATTGCTCAGATCTGTTCTAGCTTGGATGCTGTAGTTCATATAGTTCCTGTGAATATAACTCTCCGTTGCTATATTATTTTGCTGTGCTTTTGGCAAATAGCTGCTTGCAAAGGAATGGAATTTCAGTATTTTGTTAATAATGTTATGGTTTTCAGAAGTGTTTTTAATTAAAATTGCCACTACATACAGCAAGATACCTTTTCCAAGTGAAGCTTTTACCATGGACTGGACATTGGTCTTCTGCCTGGTTTCTCATGTGAATAACAAAGATAGGTTTGTTGCAGAAAAATTTCCCCAAAACTAGCTTTCTCCCCAGTTACCTAACAGATCACAAGCAGTACCTTAACACTTACCCTGAAAAAAAGTTTGCACAAGCTATTACCCCGGGCATACAGTCAGTAGCCCACCAATGCCTCTATTGGCTATGTGGAGTACAGTACAGACACAGTATGAAAGAAAGAGTACCAACCCCCTTCTAATTTCCTAGTACAGTGGTGCCTCGCTTAGCGATGTTAATTCATTCCAAAAAATTGCTGCTAAGCGATTTCATCGCTATGTGAAACGCGGTTTCCCATTGAAATGCATTGAAAACCGGATAATCCGTTCCAATAGGAACGAATTGCCGTCCTTAAGCAAAAATCACCATAGGAAACATCGCTAACCGAAACGCGGTTCCCCAATTGAAATGCATTGAAACCTATTCAATACATCTCAATGGGGGAGAAAATACAACAACAAATTAAAAAAAGAGTCAGAACAAAGTCACATTTGGTTAACGAAGGGTTTATTAAGTGCACTTTATGATTTCAAACATTTTAAACAGTAAACTTTAACTTTATAAATAACAGAAGAACATTTAAAAAATAGCAAACATGAGGCTATTTAAACCATCGTTAAGCGAAACAGGGGACCCAAAATTTAATCGCTATGCGAAGCATGGTCCCAACCATTGCTAAGCGAAAATCGCCCATAGGAACCATCGCTAAATGAAGCGCAAAAACGCTCCGAAAAAGTCATCACTAAGCAATTTCGTCGCTAAACGGAGCGTCCGTTAAGCAAGGCACCACTGTACTGTACTTTTGAGGGTGGTGGTCTGGGGGACTTGATTAGTTAAAAGGAATATCTTTTTATGATGATTAACTTTTTTTGCCTCCTGTCTTGTTGATCTCTTGAATATCAGAATTTGCCTTTATGAATTAGGCTTTTATTCTTGTACTTCTTCTAGTAGATATTAGATGGGCAGTATAAAAATTGAATAAATAAATAAATGCCTGGGGTAATACAATAATTCACTTTCCTGGCTCATTTTTCATAGCATTAAAAAAACACTGCAAAATAGGACTTTTTCTTACCTGCATCATGAAGAGCTGTACGACCCTGCAGATCCATGTTTTCTGTAGGGCAGTTGTACTATCAAAACAATCAAACATATTTTATCTCTACTAGGCTAATATTTAACAATCAGAACACTTAGTATTGATTTGAACAAATGTACACTTGCATTTATTAGCTTTATTCTTAACTTTTAAGTATTGTCTTTTAATGATGTAAGTTGCCTTGGATCCTTCCTAAGGAGAAACGCAGGGTAAAATATTTTAAATAAATGTGCAAATGTCAGGAATAGACATAAAAAGAACCCCAAATCACAATATTCATCATAAATCACTGATTCGTAGTGATGAATATTTACTCTCTTTATTCATCCCTTGGTTTGAGCATGGGCCCGGACAGCAAGCTAGGCTGCCAGAACAGCTGTACTGGCAGCCTAGTTTGTTCCCTCTGCCTATGGGCCTGCCAAACACTCTCTCTGTCACATCCCTATCTTGTCCTGTTGGCATTGCTGCCGGCGGAGAGGAAAAAGAGGTTACTTACCTGTAACTCTGGTTCTTTGAGCAATCAAAAGGAGGACCGATGTGTACTGATTTACTGATTTTAGACTTTTTTATGATTAGTTTTTCCTCCTTTTCCTTAGTTGCCTCGTCAGCTCGGGCCACCTTTGATGTCAACATCGACTTAGATTTAGAAGTCGACTTGGCCTTATCTGATCCCTCTTTGGAGCAAGGGGATGGAGTCATCTGGCCAGGAGCTGACAAAGATTGTGTTTGTTGCTCAACCAACCTAATCTGGCAACTGAAGAGTCTCTACAGCCGGTGTTGCGGGATTCATGGCAACTTCCCAAAGGTGAGATCAAAGTCTCTGAAGCCTCTGTTTAAGCGTGGGCTTGATATGTTTCTTGCAGACCACACACGATTGGGTTTGGTGTAGCTCACCCAGGCAAAAAAGACACCTTTTGTGGCTGCTTTACAGGTTAATCTGCACCTGCGCAGAGCAATCTCGGAATCTTCTAGAGCTTAGGCATATGGTGCCGGGACCTTCCCCTCACTGCCTGTAACTCTGCCCCAGCACCTGTCCACTGCTGCACAGCAAGCCAAGAGGCACACGTGACAGCTAGCGGGGAGGAAGGGTGGGATGTGTGAATTCACAGATGACCACTCAAAGAACTAGAGTTACAGGTAAGTAACCTCTTTTTCTTCTTTGTGGTCTCTGTGTATGCACACTAATGGGTGATTAGCAAGCTGACTTAGCAGGTGGTGGGTCATCACGGAAAGACAGATGCCAAGACGGCAAGGCCAACAGCAGCCTCAGTCTTGGAAATCCAGGCAGCAGTGTTTTGCAAAGGTGAGTGGAGTGGCCCACGTGGCTGCTTTACAGATGTCTATCAAATCTACTCCTCTCAGGAAGGCCGTGGAGGATGCCATAGCCCTGGTAGAGTGGGCCTTCATCGCAGAAGGCAAAGGTGTCTTGGCCAGGTCATAGGCCAGGTGGATTGTGGAAACTATCCATCGAGAAATTGTCTAAGAAGAGACAAACTAGACCTTCTAGATGAAATAGTCACTAGAGGGAATTGTCCCTCTAGAACGTCCGTGGAAGGAAACAAACAAGCACTGTGATGAGTGGAAGGCAGCAAAGCGAGAAACATAGTATGCAAGGGCTCTCTTCATGTCAAGAGAGTGAAGAGCCTACTCCAGATTAGATGTAGGAGATGGAAAAAAGGTTGGCAGGGCTATTGGCTGGTTTAAGTGAAAGGTCGAGGCCAACTTGGGGAGAAAAGACAGGTCCGGGAATAGAGTCACCTTGTCTGGGTGAAATTGCAGGAAAGGTGGGTCGACTCGAAGGGCAGCAAATTCACTAGCCCACCTTATAGAGGTTATAGCTAGAAGAAAAGCAGTCTTTAGCGACAGTAACTTATCTGATGCCAAGGCCAGCGGTTCAAAGGGTGAACCCATAAGTCTGTTAAGGACCAGTTGGAGGGACCACTGAGGAGTGGGTGGTTTAGGAGGGCAGAGATTCTTCAGTCCACACAAAAACTGCTTGAGCATGGGATGTCTGAAAAGTCCAGCCACCTCGGAAGAAGGCAGGCTGCTATTGCAGCTATATAAACTCTGAGAGTAGAGTGTGAAAGGCCACAATGAAAGAGTAGAAGAAGGAACCATAGCACCGCATCCAGTGAGGTGGGTAGAACCAGGAATCCATGTGTAGAGGCAAGTGCAGAAAATGCCTTCCATTTGCCAGAGTACGTGAAATTTGTGGAGCAGCATTGCACATGCCTAAAGACATCTGTTACTGTGGGAACAGCCTCCAGGCTGTGAGGTGCAGAGAGTTCAGGTCTGGGTGAAATATCGTACCATTGTGTAAGGAGGGAAGATGCAGGAGTGGTGGAAGTCGTACATAGTCCACTGAGTGCTCGTGCAGGGCCGAGAACTGTGGCTGGCGAGGCCACCAAGGAGCAATGGGAATCACACTTGCCTGTTATTGGTGTATTCTGAGGATGGTTCTCTATACCAAAGGTACAGGGGGAAACATGTACAGCAGCCCTTTTGTCCATGAGGTCATGAATGTGTCTCTCAAGGAGAGATGGCCGACTCCCACTCTTGAACAGAAGTGGGCTCATTTCATGTTGTTGGAGGAGGCGAAGACGTCCAAGCAGAGGCACTCCCCACCATTGGCACAGTGTGTGGAAGACCTGCTCATCCAGCGCCCATTCATGGCTACACACATGGAGCCTGCTCAATCGATCTGCTAGCACATTGTCTTCCAAGACTACATGGACTGCCAGTAGATAGATGTGGCGATCGTAAAACCTTTCCCACAGCTGGATCGTCAAATACAGAAGGCAGAGGGAATGTGTACTGCTGTGGTATTATCTGAAGCCACCTGGACTACCTTGCCCAGGAGATGATGCTCGAAGGCTCGGAAGGCTTTGTAAATGGCCAACAGTTCCAGGTGGTTGATGTGTAACAGCTGTTCTATCGCTGACCAGAGGCCGTGTGCTGTTAGGGTTCTCAAGTGAGCTGCCCATCCAGAGGGGCTTGTATCCATGGTCACTTGGATGTCCGGCGCCAAAGGACCAAAAGATCTTCCGATAAGCAAATTCGGGTGGAAGGTCCACCAGGAGAGCTGCTCCGCCAGTTCCTCAGTAACTGTTAGGCAGGTCCAGCAAGGGGTCGCAGAGTGAAAGGAACCAAGCCTGTAAGGACCGCATCTTCAGCCTGGCGTGCTGAAGCACCATCGTGGTGGATGCCGTAAGTCCTAATAAACATTGCGCCTGAAGAACTGAAACCTTGGCATTTGGAAGGAAAAGGGCCACCATCTGCTTGATTTTCAGAACACACTCCTTGGGAAGAAAAGCATGGGCCAAAGAGGCATCCAGGACTGCGCCAATATAACAGACCCTCTGAGTGGGCCGGAAAGTCAACTTCTTGGAGTTTACCTGGAGTCCCAGGGCAGACAAGAGGGGCAGTGTAAATGAGATGTCTTTGCGTGACTGGGTAGGAGTTGGCACCACCAGCAACCAATCATCGACATACAGTACAGAAACACAGTGATACTTTGTAAACGGAGATAAGCTGCCACTGGGGCTAAACACTTTGTGAACACCCCTGGGGCTGTGGACAACCCAAAGGGGAGGGCTTTGAATTCATAAATCGCCCCATTGAGAGAAAACCTCAAAAATTGCTGATGGTTGGGCTGAATGGAGACGTGAAAATAAGCATCCTTTAAGTCTATGACTACAAACCAGTCTCCTTGTCTCAACATCTGGATAGTGTTATCAAGTGAAACCATCCTGATTTTCGGGGTGTGCTATACGAATTCAAAGGGCACAGGTCCAGAATGGGATGAAGCCCACTATCTTTTTTTGGTATGATGAAATAACAAGAAACTAAGTGCAATGGCAGGATCATGAACCTGGACAATAGCATCCTTCTGAAGAAGAGCGGCTACCTCATCTTGTAGAGGGAGTGAGGGTATGGTACAGTATTCCTGAAAATGCTTGTAGTCGGAAGGGAGTCAAATTCAATGGCATAGCCTTGGGCTATAATAGTGAGCACCCAAACATTAGAAGTGATGGATTGCTAGGCAGAATGAAAAAGTTGCTAAATGAACTGAAAAGTGGTGTGTTGCTTGTTGGCCAGAGCAGTTAAAGGCCCTGCTTGGGCCTGCGGTCTATGAGGCACGCCTGCTAGTGGGGCCACTGTCTGCCAGACTGCTGTCGGGATGGACCTGGTGCAAAACTCGTGCCCTGAGCTCTTTGTCGGTCTGGATAAGGTTGGTAGGAGGCACATCAGGCGTCGGCACTGAACGAGATCAACCGGCTGGGGTCGATGGCACTTGGTCTTGCATCACGGGTGCACGGGTCCATGGTAGAGGGTGAACAGTCGGCTCATCCTCTGGATAGTAAGAGGCCCTGAGATACCTACAGTATCAAGGAGGCGACGGCGGGGGAGAATAGGAGCGATAGTACCAAGACCGCTGGCGAAGCCTGTAAAAGTCAGGGTCATAGGGAGTCGGATACCGACGGCTACTGAGCTCGAAGTCCTTGAGCTCCAGGAAGTGCCCGTAGCCATCCCAGTGAGGCCTGGGACGATTCTGATATAGGGAGAAGTCCTATGGTGAAGGGTGTCGGTGGTGGAATACCTCGGGCTCAGGAGCTGGTTTCAAATGTCTCGTATTTTGCCTTCTCTTCCTAGACAGGTCATGGGGAGAGGCAGGTGGGGATGGAGATGCCTGTCTCGACATCGAGCCCGGTATTGAACCAGGGCTGACCTGCATGAACATCTGAACCTCAGCAGAGGCATCCGCCAGATCCCGAGACAGGGGTAAATGTGGAGATGGTACAACAGGAGGCATGGAGCCCGACAAATCCTCATCACCCGACAGCACACTCGGGCCCAAAGAGTCTCTCCGCGGCTGGGGCAGAGACTGTGGCGATGGCAAAACAACAGTCGGTGCTCCAGAGGGCTCCTGGGCCACCTCTCTCTTCTTCTTCTTCTTCTTTTTTGACATCGAGGCCGAAGGTTGCTTTGACATCGAAGCTGTGGTAGTTGACTTTGAGCCCCAAAACGCCTTTGCAGATTTCTTAGCTTGCTTCGGCGAAGCACCTGCAAGCGAAGAGAACTCCAAAGAGGGCAGAGAGACTTTTCCCACAAATATGAATGCAACCATTGGAGTAGCTGCTTCAATGCCAGTTTGGTAAAACGTTTATAAACAGAACAAAGAGCGGCTGGTGTTCTTCCCCCAAACAAAATAAGCACTGGGAATGCCTGTCCGACAACAGAACCTTATTCGGGCAAAAGGAGCAATGCTTAAAAGGGCCTGACGAGGCCAGAAACACAGAACAGAATATACAAAAACAAACCAGTTACAGTGGGGTCTCTACTTAAGAACTTAATCCGTATTGGAAGGTGGTTCTCAAGTTGAAAAGTTCTTATGTTGAATCTGCATTTCCCATAGGAATGCATTGACAACCATTTAATCCGTATCTGCTCTTTTCCGTCCATAGAAACTACAGTGGAACCTCTACTTAAGAACTTAATCCGTTTTGGAATGATGTTCTTAAGTTGAAACGTTCTTAAGTTGAAGCAAAATTTCCCATAGGAATGGACTGAACACCAATTAATCCGTTCTGGCTGTTTTTCTGTTATGTAGAGGTGCGTACATTGAAGCATTAGTTCCCATAGGAACTAATGCAAAGCTGGTTAATACGTACTCTACCACTAGGGGGAGAATTTATTTTTAACCTAAGATGACCTGAGGTGAAAAAAAGAGCAGGAAAGGTTTTTTTTCCTGTTCTTATCTTGGATTTCTGTTCTCAAGTAGAAGCAAAATTTAGCAAATGGAGCTGTTCTTAAGTTGGATTGTTCTTAAGTAGGGACGTTCTTAAGCAGAGACCCCACTGTATATGCTTTTTGCCAAATTCACTTGTCCAAAGGGAACGTCAGTCCAAAATCGTCAATTATACCGGGAGGACCAAGATAAGGGAAAGGAATAAAACACTACATGTAAAGCTCTGATCGAGATACTGCTACAGCGGCGTCAGAAACGGAACTTAGGCACTCGGTGCCAGGGCGGAGTTATAGGCAGTGTGGGGGAGGTCCCGGCACCATGTGTCTAAGCTCTAGAAGATTCAGAGGTTGCTCTATGCAGGCGCAGATTAATCCATTAGTGTGCATTCACAGAGATCATGAAGAAGTATGCCATTCCAGTGAGCTAGCCTGACCGCTCTGCCTCTGCAGGTGTATGTAAGGTGTATGCCAGAACTGCAGCTTCCTTTCCAGTGCCACCACAGCCGCCGACACCACCAACAGGGCAAGTAAGGAAGCAAAGGGGGACCGTGGGAAGGGAGTTCAGCCTTTATTTTTTAGAGAGAGCCACAGGCCATCTTAAAAAAAAGTGAACTGACAAACCGATTCGTGGTTCATTGGAAATTCCTGGGGAAATTTTGTGGGACATCAACTCTGATGAACCACAACAACTGCCATTTTGGCAGTTTGTCCCCATCTCTAGTCAAGAATCCTTCAAAAACATTTTAACAATAAGATTTTGGTAAAAATTTTGCAGGAATAACATAGAACGGTGCCTGACACAGAAACCACTTATGGCTTTGACTACTCAGCATGGTATCCACTGTGGCAGTGGCTCTTCTGGGTTAGAAAAATATATCATTCACAGATCTGCCAGGAGATGCTGGAGCAAAAGATCCCTCGGCCACTAAATTGCAAGCTTTATAGTTTGCTGTTGGACTCTGTAAGCAACTACAGTGGTGCCTCGCTTAACGATTGCCTCGTTTAGCTATGTTTTTGCTTAACGATGGTTTTTTAAAAAGAATTCTATGCATCATTTAACGATGTTTCCTATGGGCGATTTTCGCTTAGCGATTTCGAGACCATGCTTCACATAGCGAATGCATTTTTAGGTCCCCTGTGTCGCTCAACGATGTCCGGTTTTTCAATTTTAAAAGTGTCTTAACATGTTCAACAAATGTTTTAAATGCTTGGAATCGTTAGTGCACCTTCTAAAACGTGTGCAAACTTAATTTGGCTTTGATCTGACATTTTGTTAATTTTTGCTGAATTTTTTTCTCCCCCATAGGAAAGCATTGAAACCAGCTTTTGACAGCTGTCAAAGGTTGGGCTCCATTATTTCCTATGGGGGAGAAAAAAAATCACAAAAAATTAACGAAGACTCAGAACAAAGCCAAACTAAGTTTGCACAAGATTCAGAAGGTGCTCTAACGAACCCAAGCATTTAAAACAGTTGCTGACTTTTCGTTAATGTTTTGTGAATTTTTTCCTCCCCCATAGGAAACAATGGAGCCCAACTTTTGAGAGCTCCATTGTTTCCTATGGGGGAGAAAAAATTCACAATAAATTAACGAAGACTCGGAAACTGTTTTAAATGCTTGGATTCGTTAGAGCACCTTGCAAAACCTGTGCAAACTTAGTTTGGCTTCGTTCTGAGTCTTCGTTAATTTTTTGTGAATTTTTTTCTCCCCCATAGAAAAACATGGAGCTGTCAAATTTTGACAACTGTCAAAAGTTGGTGCGGGAAAAAAATTCAGCAAAAATTAACAAAAAGTTGGATCAAAGCCAAATTAAGTTTGCACCCGTTTTAGAAGGTGCACTAACGATTCCAACCCTTTAAAACAGTTTTGAACTTTTTAAGACACACTTAAATTTGCAAAAATGGACATCGCAAAACCATTGAAATGCATTGAATAGGCTTCAATGCATTCCAATGGAGGAAACATTGTATCGCTTAATGATGTTTCCTATGGGCTTTTTCGCTTAAGGACGGCAATCCGTGCCTATTGGAACGGATTAACTGGTTTTCAATGCATCTCTATGGGAAAACCTGTTTCGCTTAACGATGTTTTCCCATAGCGATGTTTTTTTGGAACCAATTAACGTCCTTAAGCGAGGCACCAATGTACATAGACCTTAAAGATACAGGATGCTTTACACCAACAAAGGTTTTACTGTTTTACGTCTTCTCTGTTTTCCCCTTGTGTTTCAGGGTACCCAAACAATGGATTTTGAGCTTGTTTACTTTTTACATGGAATATATAATTTTAAAAAAATCCAGTACCTGCAACAGTTTTTGTAGACAAAGTGCATGCCCATATTTCGCAGCTAGGTGCAGAGCATTCCGTCCTGGAAAGATTACAGTAACAAGGAGAAACTCAGTGGAATAAAAGAAGACATGCAATAAAAAATTAAAAACATAACCACAATAGATCTACCCATGTGGACAATGGGTTGTTGAAAGATGATGCTACAAAGATAATTATTTTCACCAGATTATACACTGTAATACAGAAGGGATGGGAAGAAAATAACAGGTTGCTTACTCATAACTATGGTTCTTCCAGGGATCATGTATGCACTTGTGCAGGTTAGTCCTCCACACATGCAAAGTGTCTTTGAATCTTGCAGGGTTAAAGCAAAAGCATTTTGGTGGGTGATCTGACCACAGGATACATACACAGGCTTATGCCCTCCCTCACTTCCTGTACTCAACTGCAAAAATGGTAGTAGTGGGTAGAAGGAATTTTCAGCAAGTCATCTACAGACAGGAAGGCAGAATGGGTGAATGCGCAGGTGACCACTTTTCTTCTTCAATGTGGTCTCTTTGCATCACACATATGGATAATTAGCAAGCTGATTTCCCCACTGGTGGGTATCATCAGAGTGCTGTAGATAATATTGTCATTCTAAAGATTCCGTCATGGTGAGTCAGATGTCTAGATAGTAAAGGCAGACAAAATTACACTATGTAGCCATTCAGCATACAACATTTGGGGGACCCCCATGCATCCAGGCTGCAGAGGAGGCACCTACTCTAATAGAGTGGGCACATACCATTGTCAAAGTTGCAAAAACTGCATTGTGTAATATAATTGAAACATATGTTGATTAACCTGTAATAGGTGAAATGTCAAGGAAGGTGTTCAAATGTCAGATTTTCTGATGTGACATCATGGCTGAAGATCCTTTATGCAGAGATAAGAGAAACTTTATTGGGGCTGCCATAAGAAACAAAGAGGTAGTAGCCTGTTGAAAGGGGTGGAAATGGGACACCAAATTGGAAGGAAGATGACTTCATGTCGAAGAAGTTTTTCCTTGTGAAACTCTAGGAAAGGAGGGTCAAACAGTAAAGCCAAAAATTCTCCAGCCCAGGTGGTACCAGGGGTGGAGGCAATGAAAACCTCTGTGAGAGGTCCTGGCCTGGGGAGAAAGGAACGAGGAGTTTCTGGATGGCTGGGGGAGAGACATGTATACCCAGAGAGACACCTGGGAGAAACCCTGAAACCTGAGGTGCACAAGAAAGGATTGTGCATTATCAAATAGTTGCTATTTGAAAGAAGATAGTTCACTCTAGGAGGATGGTGAGGAATGTTTGCCACTTGTCATAGCAGGAACACCATATCCACAGAACAAGATCTACGCCTGGTGGAAATGGCATGGAGAGGTAATTTATCAAGCCATCAGCCTGTGGGAGTGGAGCCTGGGTGTTGGAAGCAGCCCTGAGTTTGTGTGAGGAGTCCCAGAGCTTGAAGAAACAGTAGAAGCAACAGTTAGAGAGATGGGGAAGATGGGGGAAACCAAGGTTGCCTGGGCCAGCAGGGGGTTCCGAGAATGCAGTGTATATAGTTGTCTTGCAATCTAACCAGAACTCTACTGAGTTATGAGGGGTACATGAAGAAAAACAGAGCAGCAGACACCCAGAAGAAAAGAAATGCATCTCCAAGAGACCCTTTCTGAGAAAGTCTCCTAGTGCAGAACTTGTTGATGAGTACACATGTAGCGGTACTAGAGCAACACGGGTTGCATCCCTTTGAGACTCATAATGATGATCTGTGAAGACTTCTCCCTTTGTAAAAGAATCACATCCACACTTATGAATAAAGCTTGTGTTTACTGGAGAAATACACTGGGGATAAGAAAGATCACAGAGTTTTAGTTGAGGTGCCCAGTGTGATGAGATGAAATTTGTAGTTGGAATCTTGTAAGGAACATGAGTTTTGTAATTGAGAAATGTGCAGGAGAGGTTCCATCTTGTTTCTCTCTATAAAGGATCTATGCTATGCTGACAGGTTGTTTGCTAGTGAGAGCAGGGAGAATGCTATTCTGAGAGCATGAGAAAGGACGCAGTGTGATAAGATAGATGGGTATTGTTGTGACTCTTTGCTAAACCACAGAACCCAAATAACATCTGTTACCCATGGGAGAGAAAGTCATATGGTGTGACAGGACTGTTTGCCTAGCAACAGATTGTGATTGGATGACATTGTGGGATAGAGTGATAAGACCTTACCAGTTACTCTTGAAAAAGGAACTTTTTGCCTATGGACCTTGTCATTCGTGATTCACCCTAATGTCTTTAGGGACCTACTCTTCAGTCTTTTGTGACTTATTCGTGGCCTACACACATGGATTATACATGGACTATACTGAATTACCCTTTGGCCTATAGACTATTTCCTATGGACTATTTCCTATGGAATACCCTTTACGGACTACTTCTTATGGAATACTCCTTATGGACTATTATCTTGGATTTTTCTCAGGACAATGGGACATTTTCTCATACTGGATTTTTCTTTTTGTACAGCATTTTTCTTCTACAGGATTATTGAGGACTATAGACTTTTTCTTACCTAATTGGACTATTTTATTTTTCTAATGGATTACCTTATTGGAACTGTTTTTATTATTTTTCTTGGCTTTTTGCATTTTTGTAATGTTCTTGGATATTTGCGTATTTTTCATGTTTTCTTTGCCTCACTACAGATTTGTAAATAACCAGCACAATGCTTATTTACTTGCTTTGGCCTAGATTGGTTTTGATACCTAGGAACATGCTTATTCTTTAATAAAATAATGATTATAAAAATCAATTGGTTTCCTGAACAGTAAACTTGTCTTAGGGTCATCTGAGAGTGCTGCCTCGGTCTAGCATACTTAAGGAGTCCTGCCTGTGGTGCAAGATAAGTCTAAGGACTACAAAGCCCACATGGTTTTCTAACAGTAAAATCTGCGAGTACAAGGGTGTTCTTATTAGGGCAGACTTGTAAGATGGGGAGTTGTTCATGGCTAGCTGAGTTCTAGGACTCACTCAGCACGTGTTAGCGTGTCCAATCTCCAAATTACTCTCTGTCCCAGCATTCACGCGTGCTTTCGGGCTCCGTGTTTGTCACACCCGGAGCAAAGGAAATGGGATTTTTCAGTGTTGACAATAAAGCTGAGGGAAATGAGAAATTAGCTAGGTTTGGCTAGGGAGCGGCATAGGTCATCTTGGTGTGGGGTGACGATGAGCCAATCATTGACATACGGATATACAGTGGTGCCTCGTTTAACGAGTGCCCCATTTAACGATGAATCCGCATAACGATTGATTTTTTGCGATTGCAAAAGCGATCACATTACGATGTTTTAAATGGAGGGAAATCACTTTGCGATGATTGTGGGGAAGCGCTTCCCCACGATCATCACAAAGGCCCCACCGATCAGATGGGTTTCGAGGGGTGGAGAGAGAGAGCCCCGAAGAACAGCTGATGGGCGGGGGGGTTGCGAAGCTGGCTTCCCAGCCAGCTTCGCAAATCCCCACCGAGCTTCGGGCTGCCTCTGTCTCCCCTTCCATCTCCAGCCCTGGCAAGCAACCCGGGCTGGAGATGGGTGGGGGCAGAGAGGCAGCCCGAAGAACAGCTGATGGGCGGCGGGGAGGGGTTTGCGAAACTGGCTGGGGAACTGGCCAGGGGGCGGATCCAAGCGGAGGCAGCGGCAGGGGCTTGGATCCGCCACCCGGCCCGTTACCCCATCCATGGCTGGACTCCTGAGAGTCCGACCATGCAAGGGGAACCGCCCGGGGGGCGGATCCAAGCGGCGGCAGCGGCAGGGGCTTGGATCCGCCACCCGGCCTGTTACCCCATCCATGGCCGGACTCCTGAGAGTCCAACCATGGAAGGGGAACCACCCGGGGGGCGGATCCGAGCA